GTAGTCAAGGAAAGTGACTTGAAGTTGGCACTGGATTCAGACCCGTAGTGAAACAGGTTTACAGGATGACTTTTAGTTGGCATTTTTGATTTAACTGCTGAGGAATAATGCTCTGTGCTGCTCTGTGTGCTCTCTGCTGTCGCCTGGTGGTGAACAAGTGGAACCTCTGATGAATAAGGCTGCACCTGCACAAAAATCACAATTTTAAAATATTTGACAAAGTCGATAGAATAACAACAATTCTTATAACAAAGAATTGTAAAGTTCCTATGCTTCCTTCAACTATGGGAAATACTGATAATTTTCACACTGCAAAACATTTTAATTAATTAACAATTAACACTGGTAGCCTAAGTTCACAAATAGGTGATAATAAGTGAATACATTAAAAACAGCAGTTTGTCTCCAAACCGGCATCAGTAAGTCGTATATGTTCTGATATTTAGATATCAGTAGTGTCCTGAACTCCTGATGTCCCAGAAGTAAATACTCGGGAGGACTCTCTTATTGTACTTTGTACTTAAAACTTTAAAGGAACTTGAAATATGGAACTTCTCCTGCTGTAATCAAGCTTTATTTTCAGAGAGCACAGTCAGACTACCTAATTAAGTTATTATTATAGTAGTATATTATAGATAGATAGATAGATAGATAGATAGATAGATAGATAGATAGATAGATAGATAGATAGATAGATAGATAGATAAAACATTCATATAATATTAATAATATTAAATATTAATATTAATAGTACCCCGCCTCCCGCCCTATGACAGCTGGGATAGGCTCCAGCGTCCCCCGCGACCCTGAAAAGGAGAAGCGGAAGCAAATGGATGGATGGATGGAATATTAATTGGATCCTACAAACCTCTCCTGAGCAAGCCACTGATGGCTGTCCCGTGGCAGTGGAATATGAGAAAATGTTGGCAGTCCCAGAATTAACAGCCAGACTGGAGTTGGGTGTGCTGGTCTCAGGACCCAGGCATGCGGATGATTGGCTTGGTATGTGGTTAGCCGAATCCCTGAGGACCTGCTGCAGTCTTAGGTTCTCCTCTCTCAGGTGTTCAAGCTCCTCCAATAGCGAGTTCTCAGATAGTTTCAGCTGATGGATCTCTGACTTCATCTCATCCACGCTGCAGCTGAGGAAGTGGTTGCTCTCCTGGGCCTCCTGGAGCTGCTCCATTAGTCTCTTCCTCTCAGTCATCCTCTCCTCCTCTCTCTCCAGCAGTACTCTGAGATCCTCCTGCAGGCTGACAATGAATCCTTGTAACCTTGCCTCATTTGAGGACTGTTTTGTGTCACTGTTTCTTCCTCCTCCTATGCTGTTCTCTGCTTTTCCCTCATCGCCCTTTCGCCTTTCTTCTCTCTCAGTTCCAACACTTGGCTGCCATTTCTTTCGCCTCTCTTCCTTGGTCTCCTCTTCTCCTTCGCCCTCTCCCCTCATGGAAGATAGTCTGTCTTGTTCTTCCAAGCACTGCACAGTACCACCAGTGATTCGGACTGCTCTGATAGTTGTCATACCAGTGGCGGCACTCACAGTCATGTCAAGTAGCTGCTTTTCTAAAGTGTAGATGCGATTCTGCAGGCTCTGCTCTCTCTCCCAGGCCAGGCTGAGCTTGTGTTGGAGTTGGGTTTTAAAGTTTTCAAAATACTGGGCCTGTCGACTCATCTCTCCCTCTTTGGCCTTCAGTTGCCTCTGACAACGCTGCAGTCGCTCCCTCCACACTCGCTCCTCTCGCTCCTTCTCCTGAGTCTGAGAGAGACAGAGAACAGAATCTTGCTTGATAACATGTTCTACAAGCCTAGTTTGTGTGCTAGTATTTGTAGTAGTAACAGTCTTAGCTGTATATGATATCTATAAGACATATATCATCAGCTGTATTTGTTTTACTGTACAGTGGCAAACTAACTACTTTAAATAAGTTTCCATCATTCAAACTTCTTAAAGATACCTAAAAGATATGTAATCTCAACAAAGATGATAAAAAAACTCTATGCTCACTATCACACTAGCATGTTGTTGTTGTTGCTTTTTTAATTTAACCTTTATTTGACCAGGAAAAGAATAGAAATCTCGTTTACAAGAATGTCCTGGCCACAAAAGAGAGCAGTACAATCATACACTTCATACACCAGACAGGCAATAGAAATAAAACACAGACGCAACCAAAAATGATAAACTTCAGTGTCAATAAAAATGAATACCTTAGTGATAGTAACCGTCTAATAGGAGCTGCAAATTTGAATGCTCTTTTTCCAAATTCAGTGCAAATGTTTGGTATAGACAAAATGAATGAATCTTGGGACCTAAGACAATAACCTCTACACTTTTTTGACTCTTTTGAATGTGTAGGTAAAAAAAAACCCAGTATATAACAGTGGCTGAGTCATGTAGTATGTATCTGTTTTGGCCAAATAAATGCATAAAAATGGCCTGTAAGTGAATTTATGTGACTACTCAAGGTATGTATAAAGTATATAAAGTGTGCTACTTGCAAAATATATTATAACAGTAAAAGTGTTAAACTATTAACAATCCAGCCTTTAAAACTTTGCATTTAATGGGAATTCATTATTTTTATAGGTAAAATCTGATATTATTTTGTCCATCCCAGTAAACTGCACAAGCCTCTCATTCATATCTGAAGTACATATTACTCCCATCTTCTAAAACTTGCATATTCAAAGCTGTAAATGTATTTTATATTTTCTACATCAGTGACCCACTGAATCTCTCAGACAGCACTCACCATGGTCCTGACCTCCTCCCTGAGCATGTGGAGTCTCTGGTCCAGCCTCTGGGAGTGATGCATGTTGGGGAACTGAGAGGCAGACGCTAGCTGATATAGCTCCAGCAGGAGGCTCCTCTCTGACGTCTCCAACTCTCTGATCCTTATCAAATAGCAAAACAAGATCGCATTACATCATCTTAACACCGTATAATATCATATAAATGAGCTTTTAAACGTTAAACTGTCTCTGATTAAAAAAAAATTGATTCAGTTTTATCTCCTAACATGGCAGTAGATGCAGTGAGTAGTTTTCAGAGGTGCACTCTCAAGCTTGCATGCAGTGCAGTCAGGTGTGTGTGATACGTGATATTATGTTGGCCAAAAGTGAGCGTACAGTAGCAGATGTGTGTGTCACTGGATCCCCTCTCACCCAGTCTCTCACCTGTTCCTCAGGTAGCTCTCAGGCTGGATGGCTGAAACCGCTCTCTGCTCCAAGTCCTCCACTCGATCACACAGCACACGCAGGTCCACATCAGCTCCTACAGAGTCCTTTACCATGGCAACTGAAGTGCATCCGGTACCTGCTGAGTCTGACGAGGTCATGTGATCCTCCATTGGGTCAGCTTATTCCCACTAAGTTAATTTCACCTGCAGTACAAGAACTGCCGGTGTCAAACTCAATTCTTAAAAAAACTAAAACTCATACACGTTTTCATACATTCATTTTGGCAGCTTGTATGTTTCCAGTTAACAACTCTGTCACATTTGTACAGACTATAACTAAGACAAACACAGACACACACAATAAAGATACATGCACTTAAAATACAGTCATGTATTATTCACACTGTCAACAGCCTGGAAGCAAGTTGTTGGACACACAATAATCTATCAGGTTACGCCTCCTTCTAATCATCCACTCCCATCCTGCACCTCCTACTGTACCACACTGGACAAACATACAAAAGTTTTATGTCATACAATCACTTCAGTTCAACAGTTTGTGTCTGCACTGATGATTGCTCCTGGACATAGTGTGCGTTGAGTAATATCGTTGATTGAATATTGTTTGAAGATATATACAAAAAAAACGTGAACCTAAACATTTCGAGGGACGGTCCACTCCAAAAATTAAACAAGCACCAATTTTTCTCTTTTGTTTGTAGTGTTTTTTATTTACCTATTGTTTTGCTCTGAGTTATCCTGGCTTGGAAGTATCAGCTATGGAGATTCGTGGCACCTCTTAAATATGATGGAAACAGAGGTTTTGTGGTAAAAAAGTACATTTGCTAAATATCTCTTTTGCAGAAATCATGATTGCAATGCTAAAAAGACATCCACAAACCAGATTCATATTGAAAGACTGTTTCCTTAATACCAAAAAGGAGGTGCAGAAAGATGCATGCAACTACCAGTGACACGAGGTGTCTGCTTATAGCACCGTGACAGGATGTAAGCATTAACGGTGTCCCACTCAGCTGAACCGTTATGGTAGCTATTTGCATGCCACTTCCACCTGGCAGTGTATTAGTTTAGCTGAAAAAAGAGTTCCTACTTGAAACTATTCACGAAAAGGTTTTTGAGATTTCTGGCAATCAAGTGTGGCAAATGTGTAACAGTGCAATTACATAAATCAGTGGTAGTGGTATTAGAAATTCAATCATTTACAGATTTCTTGTAATCTAAAAATAGACAAAGTCACAAAACCTTAATCGAAGCCATCCTTGGTGACAAATTTGCAAAGGAGTATTTATGAAAGGTGAAGTGAAACAACAAACCTGTTTTTGCGTTTTCACCGTTCGTTCCTTTTCAGTGCGTCAAGAAACCTCCAAATAGTTCAGCTCCTGCTCAGCGAACTTAGACGCACTGCTGTTTCCTTAGAAACGGCACAGACGTTGGACTTTGCCAAAATCCTCCATATCCAGTTGGCGCTCAGCTTGTTCACCCTGTCAGTCAGCCTTGTGCTTTCATTCTTCTTCTCCTCTCTCCATTTGTCCCCTTCCATTGTCCTGCTTGGCATTCCTTCAGCTGAGGCTGTGGCTCTTCTTGCGTTTGTAAATCGTCTGATTCAGATTTTTCCCTCGTTAAATCAAAGTGTTTGCTTTACAGAGGAGTTGGGGTTTTATGTTCCAGGTCCAGGGATCACTATAACAGATGTTACTTATAAATAAATCTCACTTTCTTCTCATGTATATCTGGTTATTTATTAAATTTTCAAATATGTTTGCATTCCAGTCTTCTGCAAAAGTGCACATTTATCAAAAAGGCCATAAGGTTTAGTTGAACTGTCTACAAATGCATAAAAAACAATTAGGTTTTATCTCATCTTCGCTCGCCACCACAGCACCTTAACACCTAAGAAAAAGAAAAGAAAATTTGAACTCTTTCCTAAGAATTATTGGCAGGCATCAAAACTGTGCCGAATTCTAGTATTATACAGTTACTTCTACCTGATGTGGGTCCATGGGCATTTTCATTAAGGCCAAAGAATAAATGCTAAAGAGAAAAATAAAAAGAGGAACAAAAACTAAAGGAACACAAGAGGTTTAATCAACAGGTGAGGAAAGAGAGAGAAGAAAAAAGTGACAAAAAGTTTAGAAAACACCACCGCACAGAAGATGTCATTGATACCTTGCACTAATAAAAAACAAGTCAAATTTGAGTGTGTACCTTTTCCTCTATTTCCTTTATTTGTCTCTTTTGCAAGTCAATCCTGTCCTCCAGCTCTCTTATTCTCTGCAACAAAAAGACAGAAGTGGTTAGCTCGTGGCCACGCGAAACACATCTGATTGATTCTGACACAATCATTTCCTCAGGTGCAACAACATTTCATTTCATTTCTTTATTTATTTCACACATGGTTCAACAGTTAAGTTAGGCTGCTATCAATCTATTCCTGCAGACACTCCAAATAGTCTTCTGACTTTCCCATCATGCCATACTGTCTCCATGGCAGCTGTTGGAATGAGCTGCCATGGCAACTGAAGAGCAGATTTAACAGTGACACTGTTTGAGACTTAAAAGCTGAGTGGCTTCATCAGTGACTCGGTTCTTTGTTCCTAACATATTCGTTTAAATAGCTTTCCACTGTGAGTGCTCACTATACAGTACATAAATACAACTGAGGCAGGCAGGCATATTTTAAAACAAATACATGACATTTTGAAGTTAATATCTTGTGCAGCAAATCAAATTGAGGTTGAGGTGAATGCTCCAGTTAAATATCACTTCTTAACTACAGAGAAATTGGAACGAGTGTTAATAAAAGCCACACTGTGGGGACTTTTTAAGTGAGCATAATTCTCAGAGTTATTATTGTAAAATATATCACAAATTAAATCAGATGCATTTCTCGGACCTGCAAACATGTTGATTTCTAATCGGTTCAGTAGTTTGAGCATATTAATTAGTAGATACATTAAAAATGTGCAGTAAGTACGGTTAGAGGATATTTTGTTAGTGAGTTAGAGTACATGTAGTGTCATGTAGTCAATGGATAACACAATGCCAAAAGCCATGGGTGTAAAGTATCGAAAGGGCTGCTGAGTGGAGGGATACTGAAGGTGTCAGGGTATTCAGATCACAATGAAACACACAAACACTCACACAAATCCAAGGTCATTCTGTCTCATCTTTCCACTCACCCACTTTTACATATGCACTTACAGATAGAGTTACAAGTAGCACGTACAGGGATACTGCATCTTTTTCAAAGCACCAGAGATCTGGTGGGGTTAAAAGTTCCAGACAGGTACCAGGGGTCAGATTCAGGGAGGGCAGGACTCAACAACCTGACTGGGTTTGTTTTGAGCCTTACCTGCTGGGCCTGCTGTAGGAGCTCCATGCGCTCCTGTAAGATTTGACTGTCATACTGCCGGCTCTGCCGGAGAATCTGACGCCGCAGCTTGTCCACGGCTAGCCTCAGCTCCTCCCTCTGCCTGTCTGTCAGCGACTCAGCCACCGCCTGGCATGCCGGCTGCTCCTGCTGCAGAGCGCTATACAGCGTGGCCTCCAACTCCTCGATCCTCTGCACAGCCAGCCACATATACACGCATACATGTATACACCCACACACACACACACACACGGACGTGCACATGCACATGCAGGAACACACACAGGCATGCACAAGCACAAACAAGGGAATACACATATGCACACAAACACACAGACACATACACACAACACTGTGACCATGGCAGATATGGGGAACACTTTTCCACTTTACATTGAGGGCTATTCAACCTTGGTTTTTACATGGTCACTTGATTTGGTTAACAACACAAACTGTGCTTTTCTTTACACATTGTTCAAACAACAAATTCCAAGTAAGAACCAAGATCAGCCCAACACAATATCAAGTGGGACTATAAACACAAAGCAACACCAAAACTGACCAAGTAAAATGGTTAGAATTATATGGCGAATGATCTAAGTGTTAACTTCTGTTATCTGGCTACAGTCTAGTTAAATCAGTGGAAGTGGAGAATGCTTTAAGATTCATGCTTTAAAAATATATAATTAAAACCTTATTATTAAACTCACTCTTTTAACTTTCTCCTGAGCAACTTTAAATAGGATATTCATAAATGAATCATATCATACTTTCTCAAATCAAGAGAGAGTAAATCTGATCGAGGTTTAGGTCATAAACAAGTGGCCACGTATCCCGGCCAACTGAGTGGCTAAGATTATTAAAATAATTTAGACTTCAGTGGTAAAAGATGCAGTATCCCAACACAATGTAGCAAATTTTACCTTGATGGAGCATGTTGCATTTGTGATGGTTAACAGGGTCCTAGATGTTTATCTCATGCTGAAATGATAATGCTGCACCCCTGCATTCCTGAATTACTTTATCATCAGCCATTGTAAGTAAAAATATACACTATGGTAAGCAGTAGATATGTCTGTGTTCATATGCAGGTAAAAGCACGCTGTGTATTATTGCTCCAAGCTTCGTACCATGTAGGCTTGGTCCAAGGCCTGCTTCCTGTAGTCCAACTCCTCCTCAAGGAATCCTTTCTGCTTACTAAACAGCTCCTGCAATAAGATGTTATAATCTATAATGCAGGGCTTGGTAGAAGGTAGCATGTTGTACATAGTAGTATAGTTATAATTACGTATTAGTCTTGATAAGTTCTTTGACATAATAACAACAGGAGACTATAATATTAACACGTTGCTTTGAATATGTTGTAGAAAGCTGAATTTTATGCATTTGTAGATAACTTTCTCACCTTGTCATTTTCCAAGTCGATCATCTTCTGCGTGAGGGCAGCCTCAGTGCTGTCTATCTGCTTCAACCACTGCAGATGAAGACACAGAAAGGTGTGGGATTCACATTTTGCTTCTATAAGATTAATCTAAATTAAACAAAAAATGAGTTAAATGAAATCCGTCTTTATCTTCTTCTTTTGCCTCTCTCACCCCTTCTCTAGCATCTTCTTCTGTTGCACTGAGCTTCTGCATATCCTCCTTTACCACCTCCATGACTCTTCTATGTGGTCATTCTCATTTATTTCGTGCCTGGCAGCTCGATCTTTATCATCCTTTTGTCCAATATATCAATCTGCACATGTCCAAACCAACTCAAGTTTGCCACTCTTACGGTGTCTTCCAATCATACATCATAGCAGAGCTCACAACAATCTGTTTTACTCTTGCTGCTATTCTTCTCTCACAAATCACCCCTGACACTCAACTCCACCCACAACACCCTATCTGCACTCTCTCCTTCACCTTGTGCACTGTCCATTGCTCGGGATGTTTAACCCAGCCAAGGGGTGTGGCACAAACCAATGTACTCTTAGTGCCAGCCCCATGCCTGGATAAACGGGGAGGGTTGCATCAGTGAGGGCATCCAGCATTAAATCCTTGCTATATCAAATATGCAGGCTTGAATGAAATGGCTTTGCTGTGGTAACAGGGTGTTATAGCAATGTTTGTCCACTGTGTGTCAGAAAAGAGAAACTTTCCACTCACCTTTTCACAGAGTGAGATCACAGTCCCTGCTTGGATCACAGCCACCTGCTCTTCATTTCTGAGATTCTTTAGAAAATACAACATTGACAAAGACTCATTAGAAATTTTAAGACTAAAGTGATTTTTTTACAGTGGGTTCGAACTCACCCCATTATCTCCCAGAATATCCAACTTCTTCATCAGTTCAGGAATGATTACATCCTGCAAAAACCCCCAAACTAAATCATCAAGGCTGTTATATTAACTGTGCAGGTACTCAAGAAAGCATTTAGAAGAAAGGTTCTAGTTTGTTTGTTTTTTACTAGTGCATTCACCTTGACTCCCTCCTGGTGGCAGTAGACTTGCAGGGCACTGCTACTGTTCTCAGGGAACGCAGACATGTGGAGATTGAGGGCAGGTGATCTGCGTTCCCTTTCCTATGTATGCAAACAATGTGTTAATATTCACACATAATGTCAGCTATGCAATTATTCATTGTACCACGGGCAGTTCTGATCAACAAAAAGAAAAATAAATGGTGGTGTAAGTCAATGACACTATGCAAAATGGCAGGGAATGAGGGATTTACTTACATGACAATGACAACATGATCAGGATCTGCCAAAGGAGGGCGGTGAAAACCGATGGAAAAGGGGTCAAAGAAACCAAGCCAACAGAATAACATGCTGAAACTCTAAATTAAGCCAGTGACGTGTCATTTCCCAACATTGAGATACAACTGCTATTTAAACTGATGGAGAGTGGACTCCATCAGGGTGATGGGACTTTAGAAATAAAAAATATCATCTTAATAGTATGGTATGCAAATTCTTATTTTTTTTAAAAAAGGAAACAAAAGCATAATTCCATGGGATCCGTCCTCATTTTGTTCATATACATCAACTTTCAAATTGTGAAAAATACAACAACAGAAAATTGGGATATGCATGCAAAAATGAGACAAAATGAAGAAAAATGGGAGTGGATGGTGAACTTAAATATATTTTTATTTACTTAAAAATTATATTCTTGACAAAACATTTCTTCATTGACAAAAATATTCAATTTCAGTAAAGGGTAAAGTACACAGCTGCCATGCAAAACAAGGAAACACAGATGCATACAGTGAAGAACTGAGCAGTGTGTTTAAGGCTATGTCTGTCTGTCTGATGAGTCACTGTATATAGGTCTTGCGTCTGGAGCTGAGATTGTTGTTGTCACCTCCTGGTGACAGTATGATGTTGGCACAGTCTCTTACTTCCAGTTCAAGGACTCTGAATTCCAGCAGCTCATTTTGGTCCCGAGCATCCTGAACCTCAGCCTGCAGCCGGGACTCCGCCTGCTGCAGCGCACTCATCTGCAAACACAACAGATTCGTTACACATACTAAACACTATGAAATGTTTCAAAGTCTTGTTTGTAAATATTGAGGACAGTGTCCAAGATGCCAAAAGTCTGTTCACCGTGCACAATATGTAATAGACTGTATAAAGAAGATGGACAAAGCCACTCTAGCTGCAATGCTTTGTCAGTTTCTTGCAATTTTGAAACCATATATAAAAATTGTGAGTGAATCTGACTGTGAAACTGAGAGACACTGCACACTTGTACTGGCATCAATCAAATAGGCCCACTCTTACAAATAATATGTTTGAGGCTTCTTTTTTATTTTAATGTGGGCCAAGGTTTTGCAAAAGAACATAATTTTATATTAAAATAATTACCTAGTGATTAAGTCCATAACATCATCTGGAAATTGTTAACTTAGATCACTGATCAAGGGAGCTGAGGGTTATTTCCAATCGACTTCTATAAAGCCTGACTTATTTTTTGAGCCAAAGGATCTGCCCCCTCCTGGCCATTAGACAGAATGCAGACTTAAGGAACTGCATTGACTTTGCTTTCTGTGTCTATAACTACAAACTTTACAGCACATCTTTACAGCTGTTACTCTCGTGCATACATTTTAAATTGTGTATTTACTTTTAGTTATCTTATAAATGTTATCAATTTTTTAATCAACTGAGAGTTACATAGATAATTATCTTTTAAACAGCTACATTAACTAACTCTGTCACTATTTTCTCAGTAAAAGTTTTTATTCTGCTTATGTTTATACAAAATATAACGTTTTCAGAGGTGGTTAATAAAGAACACATCTGATCATGAAAATCAGGTATTACAACTAGTACTGAATGCCTTGATATAGAAGGCTAATCTAATGTACCTTCTCACGCAGTTCCTGGTTGGTCCTGAGCAAGTACTGCTTCTCCTCTACCCACTTTGAATCCTGCCATAACAACCAAACACAACATGAGCGAGAAATGACACTGGCAGGAACAGAAGAAGATTTAAAGGATCTGCAATGACATAGTGTGATGAACAAAACTCCCATCCCTCAAACTTGCAGCTTAAAAGACACAAGCAAATGCAAAACAGACACAAAAAAGATAGCACAGGGTGGCAGGAGCACAAGTTTATTGATGCAGACAAATGAAGCCAAATCAGATAACCAAAGCAAAAGAGCTGCAATCACAGGCAACAAGAGTTCACAGCAACATGAGGACCAAATGGCAATCTGAGATGAAAAACAGCAGCAAAGCGAGTCAGAATACCAGCTGGATCAAGCCACAGGCAACATGCAGTAACTCAATGAAATGCTTCACAAAAAAGTAAACAAAGTGTCCTGATATGAACTCGGCATGATAAATTCAGTGATTCTCTCACTACTTTCTTTAAGCAAAAAAAAAGCCAGAGGCTTTCCCACTACACATCCAGTGGTTTGGCTTACTTCTCAGACCAAGATGCCTTTCGTACACATCAAATAACCAAAATCAAGTTGTATTAAGTGAGTATTTTCATGTTTTAACAGAAAGTTATATACTACCACATGAAAATCTTATGTGTTAATCTATACAAAGCTAAAATGAATCAAGGTGGTTGAAGTGTTTAATCTGTAATGAGTAACTCAGACACAAGTATTTAAAATAAAACACCATCATCGGTAAGGGCAGAGGGTGAAGGAGAGAATGCAGGCACAGCACTGACATCACACATGCAGGAAGTGACATCACAGGAATCTGCGGCAGACCTGGTCAGCAAAGCGCCAGCCAAGGAGCACAGCAGCCAGACAGACATGCAGGAGGCCCAGTGAGAGCAGGACCAGTGAGCTTCTGTCCCCATCCACTGTCTTTATTACCTGCCCCCGCTCAGCCAGGGCCTTCTCCAGATCCACGATCTTTGCCTGGCAGCTGCTGAGCTCCACCTGCAGCTGCTCACGGGTCTGTGGGCGGGAAAATGAGCCATCAGAGACTTAAATCCAAGTACAAAAGGAATGAATAGAGCAGACTGAGAAAACCATAATGAGGATCTATGCTCTAAATATTTTCTTGAATTGGAAGTTAGACTTGTACGTAGCACATTTGGAAGGTGGCAGCAGATACGAACCCTGGCCTCCCTCTCTGCATCCAGAGACCCCCCAGTCTGCTCCTGCAGGAGAGCGTAGGCCCGCTGAAGAGCCTGGTACTCTCTAGTGAGCTGACGAAAACGAAGCTCTGACTCCTCACGGGAAATGCTCTGTGATATCAAAGAGCGAATGTGTCAAATTAACACATAAAGCTTCACCCTTTACTTTTTCATAATCACATATATTAATCTGCAAATTACTGTTAACGTTCCATCTTACTTTCTTCTGATTTATTAACCCAAGATTTATTTTCCACATCTTGCAGCTGTTTAAGATGTTAAGATATTTCTTTCAGTGGATACAAAAGGACTTTCCTACCTCTTCCAAGTCCTCCTCTGGAGTTGCAGGCGTGCGGTCAGTGAGGTCAGTGTTATAAGAGGTCAGTGAGGAGGTTTCAGAGTCTATCGACTCCTCATCAAATCCAAAATATGTCTCCACAACATGCCTCTGCAGAGAGCAGTGGAGGGGGGAAAAGGGTTAAATCAACCTCAGATCTACACATATGTTATTCTGTGTATCAGCAGTTGGAAACAAAAACAATTATTATCCAGAACTATACTGCATCTGATTTCAGCTTAGGAAACTTTTAAACCAAATATTGATGTCATCAAACCCAAAAGAAATCCAATTACTTTTGCAAAGTAAGAGGAAAAATGACTAAAAGTTCAAACTTGTTAAATCTAGACACGGTCATTCAGTCAGTAATCTCATTTTAAAAAACTTAGACTGAATGACCGCACTGACTGTTTACTTTTTTTTGCTTTTAACTTTTCCAGACTCCAAAGTGCTTACCATCATGTTTATAAGTCATTTCCTGGCAACCAGAGAAATAAAGGCAGACCAGGGCACACAGGCAAATGAAAGAAGAGAAATAGAGGATAAAGAGGATGTACTCTGTCATGTTGTTGCCAGGCCAAAAAGTAAACTACAAATAATATCTTAAATATACATCTATCATATCTTCAAAAACACCAGCAGATCTAAAAACTGAAGTGCAGCCCATAAAGTACAACAGCTTTTTTTGTCACTCCTAAACAAAATCTAAAAAGCCGACAACAAAGCCTCTGGTTACAATCAAACTCCTACGAAAAAAAATGGTCAGTGTCTGGGTTTGTCCTAAAAAGGAAAGCCAAATTTCCAGGTGCAAGTCCAAAAGCCAAGCTGCTGTGCCCCAATTCAGTGCTGAACCTGCCAAGCTAACAAACTGGTTCCAGGAGGAGGAGGAAGAAAATAAATGTCATGCATCTACAAACTCCTCCTCCTAGCAACATCGCAGACTCTAAAATGTCCCCTGATGTATTAGCCCAAACATGCACACACAAGTACTTAGCAATTATTTCTTTCAAACTCTGTCACCTCAGCCAATTAGATATTGTCATCCCTTTAATCCCTTTGGCACAGATAAAAGCATGAAATGCTGCATACAGCTTGCAGTTTCTGTGATGCATGTCCAGTCTCTAGTAACACTATCTTATAAAGAACAAAAATATACTCACATAAAAAAAAAATCTATAATAAAAAACCCCAAAACAAATAATTCTCAACTAGCTGCGTGTGTGCTCACTGTGATGGTCCCAGCAGTGAGGGATGGTGTCATAATTGTCCCCTGAGCCCAATTAAACACAAACACACAAGTGAAAACAATGCTCAAGGGTCAGTCAACCACAGATAGGGAAGTTGCTTAGTTACACACCACTGGATTAACAGATGTGTAAAAACACTGATGAAAACTCACTTTCGGCAGCTTGAAAGGTTTCTTCCTGTTCTTTTTGCTCATCACCAATCGATCACGTTCCTAAGGACACAACAGATGAACATTTTTAAATTCTGACCTTTAAGAGAGCAATCGGAGGCATCTGTGGTGGCACGGGATTCACATTCATCAATCAAAACGTTACCTGCCATCAGCATAAAATGTTTTGTTCAGCAGAGTCTAATTTAGTTACATTTCTTTTCTATATTTCAAATTAAATAAAGTCACAGCATTAAACTGTAAATTCAAGAATTTAGCAGCTTCTAATAACTCAAGCTGTCAGACTGACAGTGTCAGTGAATGTAAAGAAGATAAGAGGGGAAACATAGGCAAAAACTAAAGACTAGGCCATTCTTCTCAAGGTTTTTTGTTTTTTTAAAAAACAAACAAACATATAACCATTGATCCTTCTGACATGTATAAGACATGTATAAGACATGTATGCTCCCCTGATCCAGAGGGGTCAAAAACGCAGAGAGAAGCACAACTTCAGTGTTAGTACTGTCACAATAAACGTCCCCCTTCTAGCCATGGCAATGCAGATGATTTTATTATGTATTTGTATATTGTTATTGGCACACTTAAAAAAATCCACTGACATATTACAGATAAAATATCAAGACAGAAACCTCTATACGCTTCCAGTGAAGTACACACATGAAAAATCATATTATCATTTGCAGAGCCAGAACTGTTTGCTGATTTGTTGGCCTCGGCACTCAATACAGGCCGATTAATTTAAAATGTAAAGACGGGACAGAAGAGCAATGTGGAGTGCTGATGTTGCAGTTTGGACACCAGAGGGCAAGTTGACTGTGGGAAATAAAAATGCTTGGAACAGGTTTAACATAGCAACCAGATGATCCAAACAGAACAAGCAGAGCTTAAATGAGTAAATAAATAACTACACATAAGAAATATTATGTAAATCTGTTCATGTTTCGTGTATCTGAAAGAAAAAGAAAAAAAGATTTTCAGCTGATATAATGGAATATACGATTTTAAATCACTGAATATCAATATTGTTACTTCTCTTAATACTCCTGCATTTGTCGGGGCCTATTATGCCTACAATAATAATCTTTTGCCATAATGTATTGCCAATACATTAAGAGATATTATAGTGAGAGCTATCTAAAAACATCTAACAGACGAGCTGACAGAGTAATGTTATCTGAGTATATACTGTTGTATGACCTTATGTGTTAACAGTCATGTAACCCTGTCCTGACCTGCGTGAGCTCATCAATGATGCCGCGTTGCTCAGCAACTTGCAGCTTGAGGAACTCTACTTCCTGTTCCTCATGGGCGTGGGTCAGGTCGGTCAGGGAGCTTGGTCGCTTCATCTGGGCCTGAACAGACTGCTGCTGTGATGGTGGCCGAGAGGAGGAAGCTTTCTCCTTCTGCAGGAGGGAAACAGATGGACTAATTATTTTTCATGCTATTCATCAAATGACCAGCAGAGGTCCTCTTTCCTTCAGAGAGCCCTAAAAACCATAAAACGTCTTGAATAGACTAGATAAAACTATAATATCTACTACATCCTATTACTACTTTTTGATTTTATCTTCGGGTTAAAAAAAGAGGGAGTTAAGAGTCATCAGCAGATGTTTAGGAAGACATGTTGGTTGCACTTACCATCTCAGCATTCTCACGGCTCAGGTTCTTGAGTTTCTCCTCCATGCGCTGCAGTGTTTGCAGGAGGTCATCATTTTTCTTGGACAGCCGCTTATTCTTCTCAAACATGGGCTTCATTTGGCTCTCTGCCTCTCGCACCCGTTTCAACTGAACAGAGGAAGGAAACAGGGAGGGGGGACATTGTAATCTTAAGTGTCGCCACAGAATTTCCATCTTAACTAGGACAGTCAACATCAACAGTGAGGAAGTTAGGAAATATTCGGATTCAGGTTTATTCGACATCCATACTCTTCATGGTGTCTAAACTTATGCGAATTATAATTTAAAAAATGTCTGCATGTATAATTGTATGTTTATAATGACTGCACGCGTGTTTTTCTCACTAGTTCATTCCTCTCATCGGCCAGTAGTGCATTTCTGTCCTCCAGTTTCCTGATGACTGAGTGGAGCTCTGCAATCTTCAACTGGAACCTCCTCATGTCACGCTCCTCCACCTCCTGTGAAGCCGTGGGGAGAGGAGAAGAGGAGGAGGAAGACAACAACTGAAAAAGGGAGTACATGCAGGCAGGCATGCAGGTAATGGAGACGGACAGTAAAAAGGAGGTGATGGCAAGAAAGATGATTTGGCTGTTCACAGAGTAAATGTGTATGTGAAGTACAGTAACCATGTGATTTATGAACTGGTAAATTGACTGGTACTTAAATAATGCCTTTCTAGTCAGATGAGCACTCAAAGCACTATCTACTGCATCTCTCATGCACCCAGTCACACATTTATACAGCGCTGTTTATATATAATGTTTGTCTGTAAAGACAACTTAAGTATTCCTTCAAAATTGATTTTGTGGCGTTGGCTGGAATCAGGAAAAAGCTGCATAAACAACAACGTATATTAAATTCTCCATGTACGGCTCACGGATTCACAGATGTGCCAATTTCACTTTTTAACTCTATGGCATCTGTTATTAATATCAATATTATCAATTGCACTACAAAATCACTATTCCACTGTGATTTTTTTTTTATCACTTATTTTTCTTTAAAAGCTCCTCACCAGAAATACCTCACATTGTGCTTACTTAAAATTTGTAATATAAAATATAATATAAAATATCTGTAAATATGGGAAACTTTCGGAACATATAAAAATATCTTAAGCATAAAATACTGACACTTGTATACCTGGTTGTTGAGCAAGTCTGGGTTTTCTCCTAGTCCAGGCACCACTTCTCTCTTCGGGCTGCCATGGTTGTGTCTCTCGGCCTCTCGTACCTGACCCAGCTGCTCATCCAGGGCTTCCTTTTGGAGCTGAAGCTTCTGGGCATAGCCAGCCTGTAACCCCAGCTCCCTCTCCAGAGCGCACACCACCCGGTCCTTTGCCTTCAACTCATCCATCTAAAGGAGTGAAACAGAACTAGATTATAGCCATTATAAGGAGTTAGTAAATAGGTTTTACGTCTAACCGAAGTCCTTAATATTTTATTTTTAAGACCTTTTCCAGTCTTTTCTTTTTCTATTACTCATGTTATTTATTTTTATTTTACTAGTTTATTAATGTTTTTTTTCTGTTTACACTTTATTGTCCCTCCACTGCGGTTATGCCAGAATGAATCAAAAGGGGAACCCTCTCAACTCTCATTTATCATCTTTATCTAAGCAGCTGGAGTCCATCTCTTGTCTTATTCTGTCTGGTCTTATTTTTCAAAATAAAGCACTGAAAATATTGTTCTTATTGTCTACAAAAGTGCAGAGATTTCTGAGAAGCAACAGAAAACTCAGATTCGATTAAATCTAAATCTAATCATTTCACTCGTTTCACCTCCAATATGTGAATATTAGTTCATATGTACAATGTTTTTCTTTATAATTTATGTATGTACATTGTGCACAGCTTCAGTGTAAGATGGCGTTTGCTGAAGACTAACAATGTTTTAGCTTTTATAACACTCTGCTTTAGGTTTGATTAATTTATAAGCCTCTGTTCTTGCTCTGCATTCATGCAACCCCTCCTGACAGCTGTTACCACCTCTACTTCCCTCCGTATTTTGTTCTTTAACGCCGGTATTTCCTGCACCGCCTGCTCTCCATCAATAAGCCGTGCTTTACTCTTTGAGTTTCCTCACTCAAGCATTCCTTTACTAACAACAATGCCTGTTACTGTAGCCCTCCTGTATGTAATAGGGTAAATCAGTAACTGCAGCAGGTACACAGACATTTATACTTGCAGATAGCACCACATGGTCAAGACAGACATTGTGGCAATTAGCTCCTAACCTTCATGCTACATCAGTGAGATAAGCCCCGAGCTGGAAGTGAACTTCAGTAGAAGGAAACCAATCTGTATAATCTGTGTGTGGGTGTGTGAGTGTGTGTGTGTGTAGGTGTGTGAGTGTGTGTGTCATTCAAATATGATCTGGACAGACAGGGACTACAGCGTTAACAGCTGCTGGGTTCGTGAAGCTAATCTATCTCAGGCATAACATGCTTAGTTTATGATGCAGTGTAAGATGTGTCTGCTTATTGCACACAGTACACCTCCCTGTTTTTGCACTTCACTAATAGTTAGCTCCTTGTGATGCACATAAAGAGGCACGTTTAATCTCCAACTATAAAATCAGTGATAACAGGGAGGGCTATTACACTTTTAATGCCCCAATAACACTTTCTTAATCAGCTTCTTAGCAACAGAGCACAACATAAACCTCTATTTACCTGAAAAAAAAGTTTAAGCTTAAGTAAAGGTAGATTTTTGTGCCTGTGTGTCTTTAAACCAACAGGATTTAAAAACAGTGAGGAAAGTTGTGAGATTTGGCCTGGTGAGGCCAATCTGGTCTGATTTTTTAGTATTTAATACTTAAGGGTGATTATTTATTGCTTATTTAATTAGGAATAATGGAGTTATTTGATTAATATTGGGCTTTGTGATTATGATATTGCCAATTGAAATTCAATTTAAAGTTAAACTTAATTCATCTTGGCTTGACAGTTAAGTGGATTCTGATAAATGTCTTTTAGAAAATACTTTTTGTATTGATTATCAGTCATCTAAAAATGAGGGTACACAGTATCGTGGCTTCCAGCTTTATGTGTTCTCACCAGCCGGCGGATGTCTTTCTCACAGTCGCGTTTAATGCGGTGCACCTCGTCCTGGTGCTGTTGGTAGGCTGTGCGGAGATCAGCTGCTTTGGCTTTATCAGCCTGAAGAGCGTTTGCAAGAGCCTCTTCGGCTTGCTTCCGAGCCATTTTCTGCTCCTGAATCTGAAATGGCCCGATGCACACATTTTAATATTTATATACACAAAAACAGAAACAACAAAAAGAACATCAGCTGTGCATTTGTAAATACTTGCCCTTGTCCTATTAATAAGTTTAATGACAGATCTAGGTAGGCTACAGTGAAACAATAGGTTGGCAACAGGCTTTTCCACCCTGCTTCCTGTTTTTCAGGACCAAATTACAAAAGTGTGCATAGTCCCACAAAAACACAGACACAGACACACACACACACACACACACACACACACACACACACAAAGGGTATTTAAACACAAAGTGCACTCGAAAATCAAGTCTGCAATACTCATTTTACAACTTTGTCAGATCAACATATACCCTATACATGTTCTACTTTCCACAATCTGACATGTGAAAAAGTTATACTTGTCACCCCTGTACCTACTAAAACCTACCTCCTGCTGGAGCTTTATTCTCTCCCCATCAAAGGCTCTCCTGGCTTCCTCCCTAGCCTCTGCAAGAAGGGCATTTTTGAGCTTGTCAGCAGCTCCATCTCTCAGTGCATTCACAAGACCCTGCAGCCTCTGAACCTCAGTATCCCGGATCTTGATTGTTCTGGCCAGCTCGGCTTCATGCTGCCGTGCCAGAGTCTCCCGTATGGCAGCGATTTCACGTAGCTTTTCTTCATGGAGTTTGGCACGCAGGTCAGTGAGTGCTACGGCATGCTTGTGTTGCTCAAGTTCGCGAGCCTGCCGCTGCTCTTGGAGCCGCTCGCGGAGTTTGCATACCTGATAGAAGGACATAATGCAGAATATAGATTAGAGTACCCCTGACAAGTAACCATCAGTATTTACATAAAGTTTGTCCTGACTCTATTGTGCATATTTCCATATTTTTACTCTAAGTCCTGGCAGACTAAAACAAACTAGCCATGAGGGATGGAGAGATGAGCACAGAGAGGAGGTTTGTGTGTCAGTGAGCAGACTGGAGTAATAAACTGCCCGGAGACCTTTTTTTAAGAAAAAGAAAAAAAAAGAAGTATATGTATTCTGTTGCTTCACAGCAACAGAATAGCCAAACTGCACGCTAGGTAACCCTACTGTCCTATTAGAGATATTGCTTCTTTATAAGTGTGCTTACATGCTTTTAAACATTGGTTGCAAATAATTTATAAATAAAACTGGCAACCATTTCTATCCTGTTTCTGCTGAGTTGATAAAATAGGAGACGACTTCTCAACCACATTTATTAACTTTAAACGCATGTTCTCAGCTTCTTCCACCTCCTCTTCTTCCTCACCCTCACCTTCCCGCGCTCCTGCTGTAGCTCTATCTGAAGGTCCATGATCTTGCTCCTCAGTTCCTCATTGGTGGCCGGCACCGAATCAGCCATCACCTCCGATTTCTCCGGCTTCCGTCCCTTCTTAGACGGTTGAGCCGATGGGGGTGTGGTTGATGACATAGCACTCTAGCCGCCCAGTCGGGACGGACATAGAGTGCAGGGTGTGATAAAATTGAGGAGAAAATCAGTCGCTGCTCCTCCTCCCTACAAGGCCCTGCATCATCATCATCATCATCGGGACGTCTACATTGTTGCTAAAGCTTGCAGAGAGTTTCTACCTGAGAGAGAGACAGACAGACAAGCAGAGAGGGGAAAAAAAAAGGTTGAGTCAGGGTTAAAATCTGGGTTACACAGAACTACAATACTCCGGGGCCAAGCAACCAAATAATGACGCAATATAGCCTGGGGAACACAAACTATTTTGGGGACTAACATTTGCACTCTCCTCTGCCACCCTTTTCTCTCCAACATATACACATGGGCCATTTATCACCATCCTGGGCTGCAGTCCCTGGGCTGTACTTAGCAGCTCCACAGTGCATGAAAAAGTGTCTGGCTATCAAAGTTTTAGCATCTCACAGTAGCCTTCTTCCTTTCTGTAGATTAAGAAATCTCTTCTTTGCTTTCACGAGTCTTCAGGCTGCAGATCCCATAAATCTTTCCTACCTGTTCTAAACTAATGACATATCACTACTTTTTTATCACTAAGATGACAATTAGCCAAACACTCACACAGTGCTCTAATGGAGTTACAATTCACTAATTTCACCTCGTCCATGTCTGCCTTTCTATTGCTTTCTTCTTGTCTTCCCATTATTGAATAGATTATTGTTTTAAGCAGATATCTTCATGTTGTCTTGCCAAATATAGGCAGAAGCTGCTTGCATTACTGTCATTTGATTCCTCCGCTATATTCACAGCACAATATAAGAGCAACATTTGCCTCAAAGTCTCCTTTTACTCCCTAAACATACAGGATATATTAGAATAGGGCAGTCACTAACATTGTTTTCTGATTACAGGAGCCACAATGTCACATCTTGATTGAAAATGTGATTATTAAATAATCAAATTAGCTTTTCAAATCAAATATCACCTTTGGCTAAACAGCAAAAAAGCGAGGCATACAGAAATAAACACCAACGAATTTTAATTAACGACTGAATATCTCTTATACTCCTACTCACTAAGCAAGGCCAGGTTATGATAGCAGCTATTTTATTTGCATATTTTGTTACAGATGTGTTACAGTGGCACACATCCTCTGAGCTGAAAGCGGACTCCTCTAATCTCTTCTCAGAGTGGATTGTAACCCAGTAACCTTCCAGTCATTCTGCTAACTATTAAATAAATAATGCAACAATGAGGAAGCTGGAGCATTAAGACCGCAGGTGCCTCCATCTTTCTCTACATACACATTGCCACGCATTCATACAACATACACAGATGGCAGAAATAGTTACCAAGGCAACACTTGCTCTCAAAAACGCCTCTCATAGCAAAGGATGATGGGAAGAAGGAGCCTCACGGTGGATGTGAAAAGCATACAGTTCATTATTTGTGTAGAAGCTTCAGATTTAAAAAAGAAAAAGAAAAAAAAGAATACGTAAGTGCATACATGGTATTGTTATCTGGTTGCATCTTTGAGACGAGGTTGACTGAGAGACAGAAATGCGTCGATGCTGGAGGGCGAGGAAGCTTTCTTCCACATGAATTTTTACACAGTGTGCACAGTTGAATGCTGGGAACCAGTGGGGGCAGGGAGAGAAGGGAAACGGAATAACAGAGAAAAGGTGGAAGATATAACCTACAGTAGAGGTAAAGCAGTAAAACAGGAAGGAAATTGCATACTTCTACAAAAGAAAACTAGCTCTTACCCAACTCCCCTCTGTCCCCTTAAACTCCCCACCCCCTCTTCATCTATCCAGACTTACATAAAGGCATGGCAATGTTACTGATCTCACACTTATTCACACAGACAGAGAAAGCAATAGAGGGAGGTCATTCACAGACAGAGTCTTAAACTGAACAATTAGGGACAGATACAGCTGACACATATTCACACAGCCACCAAAAGTCCTCTACCCCATTCACAATAGTAACAAACGGGTATTTATTTGCAGTAGCGCAACAGACAACTGACACACAGGCAAGTGAGGTGGAAACATGCACATATAATTTATGTGCAGTTTATGTGCAACAACAATAAATGGCTTCAGCACACTTTCTACTGTTTTCAGCATGTTTATGCATGTCAGTGTTGTTATCAAAAACCAGGTGTGCCACAGCTGAAATGGCTGAGAGGCATGACATATGGTTTCCCTGTTTTTTTCTTCTTATTCTAAGGAAGCACAGATAGACCCATAAGCACATATCACACTTGACTGTTCGTGTACACTGAGTTAGTGCAAACAGGAAGCCAAGGGTTTGTTGCTTGTCAAAAATACTACAGAGGAAGAAGCACACGACATAAAGTGAGATCAGAGATTTCTTTGCCTCGATCAATGATGAGATGAGATTGCATAACGTCATAGCAGCAGAAAACACAGATCTACTTATCTGCCGCTTTATTAGGTACATTTTGCTAGTACTGCACTGTACCCCTTCTGGCTTCAGAAATGCATTCATTTTTTGTGGTATAGATTCAACAAGCTGCCAGAAGCATTCCTCAGAGAATTTGGTCCATATTGGCATGATAGATCACACAGTTGCTGTAGATTTGGTAGCTAAACATCCATGATGTGAATCTCATGTTCCAGGACATCCCAAAGGTGCCGTATTAGATTGAAATCTGGTGACAGCGGAGGCCATATGAATACAGTGAACTAACTGTTCAAGAAACACGATAATGTTTGATTAGAGCTATGTGACATGGCGTGTTTTTAGTGTGCCATCATGTTGTTATGCTGGAAGCCATCAGAAGATGGGTGCACTGTGGTCATAAAGGGATTGACATGGTCAGCAACAATTTTCAGATAGCCTGTTGGATTAAAACAGTACTCAGCTGGTAGTAAGGGGCCCAAAGTGTGCCAAGAAAATATCCCTCACACCATTATACAACCATCGTTGAATCTTTCATACAAGGGACGATAGAGCCATGCTTTCATGTTGTTTATGGTAACCTGAATGTTGCAGCGGAAATCAAGATTCATGAGAACAGGCAATGTTTTTCTAATCTTCTAATGTCCACCTTTAGTGAGCCAAAAACTCTAACCTCTTGATCTTAAGGAGCACCAGCCAATCCCAGAGGAAATTATGTAAAGACTACATGGTTTGGTCTTCTTCTTCTGTAGTACATATGCTTCAAAATTCAATGTGTTCTGCATTCAGAGATGCTCTTCATCACACCTTGCTTGTAACAAGGAGTTATTTGACTTCTATCAGCTATCAGCTTTAAAGCAGTCTGACTATTCTCCTCTGACGTTTGACAATAACAAGCCATTTTCGCCCAGAGGACTGCTGCTCACTGGATATTTTCTGAGCCATTCTTTATAAACGCTGTCTGGGAAAATCCCAGCAGATTAGCAGTTTCTGAAATACTCAGACCAGCCTGTCTGACACCAACAATCATGCTATTTGATGTTTGCATTGAACAGGTGTTCCTTTAAAAAAGTGTCTGTGAGTGTAGACTGGGGAGCATTGAAAACAAAATATGGGGATATGTTATAGTGGCACTGAGAGTATTTTTAAATAGTAAAGAATTACCCACACATGGAATAACTAAAAGTTTGTGACCACAGATATGGTATTTTATATTGTTTTTGTGACTCACACAACTCAGGAAATGCAGGAAAAAAAACAGGCATCTCTGCTCAGAATTTCCAAAGGTCTGATGAACATGGTTGATGTAATAATAAACCATAAAGTGTACCTAATAAGTTGAGTATGTATCTTACAAATACTAAGCCAAGATTTCACCTGAGTCTAAAATATTTGTGCAGCAACTACAAGACATCTGCCACCCACAGTTCCCACAAAGCCTTCTGGAGCCACATCATGTTCCCAAGCTGGCAGCCAGGCGCTAAATCTCAAAGTTTTATAGATCATTGAAAGCCAGGAATGTTATATGTGAAACTGGAAAATTTTATAGTGGCACCGAGAAGCTAAGAACCACCTTTAATGTTCGCAGGAGCAAACAAAAACCAGCAAAGATCGTAGACCTTAAATTACCTCGTCCACTCTCAGTGTAAACTGTTTGTGTAGCTTACACTGAGATGGAAAAGGAAGCAAAACCCTTCAACAAGACAATTCACCAGACAAAATTAACAGATTTGTCTTCAACATCTATATTTAGCTAATATAAACCCACATTCATTCTGAATAAAAATGTCACTATGACTCATGACTTCAATCATAAGTCATATTTTGCAACACGTTATATAAACTGAACAATAAATCAACAAAAAACTACCTTCAAGGCCTTTTTAAGTGCAGTGAATGTGGCTCTGAAATCATCATCTTGAGCTAAATCACTATACTATAACTGCAAAAAGAAAAAAATTCCAAATGAGGAAATATGTTTTAGATTGTAAGATAATAAAATAAAAAGTAAATAAAATTAAACCTGTGTGACATGCCAAAACTTTGCAGCATCATCTTTTGGGTGAAGGGATTACCCTTATTAATTTTTATGTGTGTTGTTGTGTCACTAATTATCTTCTTCTCTCTAATTACCTGCTTTATAGCTCCCAGTGACTTTGTTAGAGTTACATTTGACTTAACCCATCCATTTAAAGCAGTGGTTCTCAAACTGTGGGGTGGGCCCCCCTGGTGGGATGTGGAGCCACTCCAGGTAAGGTGAGGATGATTACGGGAAAAAAAATATGGAATTAACTGTTGAATTGAGAGTGGCAGAGTTTTCATTGTTGCCATATTGGCTTTTTTTTTTAAATGGATGAGAGGGAGCAGTTCTGACTGAAAACTGCTCACTCGTTGACTGGTCAGCAAGTCGTCAGCCAATGAACCATGGATAATACTCTTTTTTCAAACAGTATGAGCAAGATTTACAAACCATCCATGGCCTTAACTCTTTTCAACTTCTGAGGTCAGGTATGCCAGAAAAAGTTTGAGAACCACAGGTTTAAAAGAAGTGTTTGGATTCCTTGGTGCATATTTGCCTTACACATGTAAGACTGCTTTGGTCTGAAATCTGGGCGAGACATAAACTCAGTCAGGTTATGTCTGGTGTAAAATCTGTGCCAAATCACACATGTGGCTCCATCCGCTGTGGTGACCCCAGGGGAAATAAGAGAGGAGCGGAAAGTACTTAGTGCAATAA